CCAAACAACATGTACTATCTATCAATTAAGCTAAAACGAAAAAAAAAAAAAAAAAAAAGAGGGAAAAGAGGAGAAAGCCTTTTAATACCAGAATACCAGAGCTTTGCTTTTTGCTTTTTACAAATAGTTCTGCGGTTGTCTCCTTGACCTTAAACTTGTTATTTTGGAACTTTTCAAACAGAAATAAAAAGCAAGGCAGCATAATGGAAACACACATATCTACTACTAGCTTCAACACTTATCATCAACATGCACAATCCTGTTTCGTCTATGATTACCCTAGACATCAATATTTCACTCAATTCTACTAAAGAAAACAATTACATTTCATTTATAAGTTTTTCAGTATACAATTCTAAAATATGAGTTTAACTCAACTACCTACACTCATTATTACACTGAAGTAGTAATAGCTTATTAACTTCTTTGCAGGTCAGTTTCCTCAGGAATAGACTACTGTGACTGCACAGAATTCTTTTGAACTCACTGCATCAGTCGTCTCACTGACTTTCTTGTTTTTCAGGGAGGGAGCAGGTGTAGTGGCACAGCACGTTAGGACACTGCTTGGCATGCTCACACCCAAATCAGAGTGCTGGCTGGAGTCCTAGCTACTCTCCTCCTGACTCAGCTTCCTGTTTATGTATCCTGGGAGGTAGCAGAGGACAACTCAAGTACTTGGCTCCATGTCAGCCCTGTATAGCACACACATGGAGCTCTAGGCTCTTGAATTTTATTTGGTTTAGGTCTGGCTACTATGGACATCTGGGGAGTGGGCCAGCAGATAGAAGATTCTCTCAGTCCATTGCTCTGCCTTTTGGATACAAAAAAATTGGATAAACATTAGAGGGAAAAAAAAGGAAAAAGCTCAATCTAAACATGTACAATATAGATAAAAAGCTTATAAGTTCTTAGGTTTTGAATCTATGAATAGTTTATAACCCATCTATCTAGAAACCTCAACTTGCTTAAGATGCTAACTGCAATAACCTACCTGTGATAATCTGTTTTCCATAGTTAGCAGCTGACCTTTCAACAAAGCTAGAATTTAAAATATAGATAGTGGGGTCCAGTGCCATAACCCTAGTGGTTGAATCTTTATTTTGCATGTACCTGGGACCCAGATGGGAACTGAGTTCGTGTTCAGGCTGCTCTACTTCCCATCCAGGTCCCTTCTTGTGGCCTGAGAAAGTACTGGAGCAATGGCCCAAGGCCTGGGGACCCTGCACCCACGTGGAAGACCCAGAAGAAGCTCCTAATATCCGATAGGCTCAGTTCCAATCATGTGACCAAAGATCATTCTGTCTCTGCTTCTCTCTATAAATTTTCCTTTCCAATAAAAGTAAATAAATCTTTAAAAAAAATACAGACAATGAAATAAATTGATCTTTTATGTTAACTTCAAGATAATCTACGTATTGTGGCTATTACATATACATACAGAACTGATATTTAAGTCACGGAAATGTCTGAAGGTGAACTGGGTGCAGATTCTGGGTTGCCTAGAAAATCAAGGGCTTTGTTTTCTACCAGTTCAAGGTTTGGCCCTAAGCTCAGACCACTACATGAATGAACAGCAGCTTCCTTTTCTTTGATATCAAAACTGCAATTTGCTTCCTTTTCTTTGATATCAAAACTGCAATTTTCCATACCCTGAATGCTTCAGGTTCTAGGCAGACGCCCTTCCAAAACAATTGTAAAGAGACTACATGATACCATACATAAATTATTTCCTCTCACAGCTTACTATAAAAACAGATCTAGGGAGAAACATCTGGTATAGAAGTTTAATAACACCATTTGGGACACCAAGATTCCATGTCAGAGGGCCTGGGTTCAAGACACAGTTTCACTCTCTACCCTAGTTTCCTGCTAATGTAGGTGATGACTCACCTGACTCCTTGCCTCACATGTGAAATTCCTAGATTGACTTTCTGGCTCCTGGCTCCTGGCTGCAGCCTGGTGAGCTCAGTCTACTGCAGGCTTTGGGGAGTGGAGATCTCTGTCTGCCTGCTTCTCTTTCTTTCTGCTTTTCAAATAAATAAGATAAAACAAACTGTTTTCTAAAAAAGGAAGAGATTTATGGTTGAGGAGGGATCAAACATTGACCCAAATGTGAATCGAGCAATAACCTGGACCCTAGAGCTTGAGAAAATTAGAGGGATCAGTGTTTCCTTTAAAAAAGAGAGAAAGAAAAAGAAAAGAAAAAGAAGAAGAAAAATAAAAACAAAAAGAAAAAAATTTAAAAAGAGAGAAAACTTACAGAACATAAAATTCACCATTTTAAAATGTGTAATCCAGTGGCTTACAGCATATTTGTAAAGTTGTACAACTATGACTGCTAACTTACTCTAGAAAATTTTCATTACCTCTCTCCCCAAAAAAATCCTATACACAAGCAGCAATATTTCCAAATTTCCTCCTAGCTCTAAGGCCCTAAACAAGCACTACTTTGCCTTCTTGCTCGGTGAATTTTCCTTATCTGAACATTTCAAATAAATGGAAGTAGGTGTTTTTAATCTGGTTTCCTTCACTTTGCATGTTTCCAAGTTGTATCCATGTTTTAGCAGGACTTCCTTCCTTTTGTGAGTCAATGGTATTTCATTGTATGCATACACCACACTTAGTTTAATAGACATTTAGAAAGCTTCTACTTCTTGGCTATTATGAATAAAGCCGTTATAAACAATCCAATTTGGTAAGGAATTTAAGCAGACATTGCACAAAAAAAATACACTAATGGTCAGTAATCACATGAAAAAATACTCAGCATTTGTCAAGGAAATGTAAGTCAAAACTACAATAAGGAATCATTTTATATCCATTGGTATGGTTATCATGAAAAATGACCAACAACAGCAAGCTTTGAAGAGAATATAGAGAAGCTTGAACCTTAATATCCTCCTGTTGGGCCCAGCGCCATGGCCTAGCAGCTAAAGTCCTCGATTGAACGCGCCGGTGATCCCATATGGGCGCCAGTTCTAATCCCAGCAGCTCCACTTCCCATCCAGCTCCCTGCTTGTGGCCTGGGAAAGCAGTCAAGGACGGCCCAAAGCTTTGGGACCCTGCACCCACGTGGGAGACCTGGAAGAGGTTCCCGGCTTCGGATCGGCACAGCACCGGCCGTTGTGGTCACTTGGGGAGTGAATCATCGGACGGAAGATCTTCCTCTCTGTTTCTCCTCTCTATATATCTGCCTTTGCAATAAAATTAAATAAATCTTAAAAAAAAAAAATATCCTCCTGTTGCCAGGAAGGTAAAATAGGATAGCCCCTCTGGAAAAAGTTTGGTAGTTCCTCAAATAGTTAAACAGAATTCCCACACAATCCAGCAATTCTAGTTCCGGGAATATTATTCCCTTTTGTTTTTACCAATGATCCTTGAATTCAAGCTTCCCCTTCTCCATTCAAATACTTTAGGAAATGATGATTATTGAGTTATTATTTTTATTTTTAGAATTATTTTTATTATTTGAGTTATTATTTTGAGTTGTTATTTTGATTAGTTACTAATGACAATGAAGGAAATAATTAAATAATGTCACAGATTCTCCTAATTATTTCAACTTCTGAAATTACCTTGTGGTTTCAAATAAAAAGTTACTAAGAAATTATTTCATAAAGTTTGTATTAGAGAAAATAAGTATTAGAGAACATAATTGGATATATTTCTTAGTGGGAGTTGAATAGAATACATTTTGAAAGCATTCTTTTTCTGGATTCTGATCATGGCATCCAAAACACTTTTTTCCCCTAAACCTTCATCCCCTCAGACATGTAAACTGCCTTTATTAAATGCTATTTTACTACTATTGCCTGAAATGTAGCGTTAGTGCTGATCTAATTTGCTAATTGATGCAATTCATGCTAAGGTTAGAATCAAGTTTGAACATTTGTAGGATTCATAGGTTATCAGAAGAGCAAATCACAAATCGGCAATTGTGGAGTGTAATGAAAAAAAATTAGTCCTACTGTCTCTCCTCCAAGGGAAAACATCTTGCTCTACTTCCCCTTGGGTAATTTTTTTAGACAGTAAAACTAACTCAACCACTTCACAATACAGGCTATTGCTGCATCCTTCATCTTATCTATTTTACTTGAAAAAATAAGAGCTAAGGAACAAAAAGAAGGGATCCTACATAATGAGTAGATAGAGAGGCAACTATCTTCATTGCTTCTCAATCACAGCCAGATCTTTGATTGAAACTCTATTTATAATCTTAGAAAAGATAATATTAATAGCAATCAATTTTTAAGTTTTTATTTCAGAAGCACAGAGAGAGTATTGTCTCCCCGCGCACACACACTGGTTCACTACCCAAATGTCTAGAACGTGCCAGATCTGCCCATGGGTGATAATAACCCAAGTATTTGGGTGCACTGCCTCCCAAGGTCTACATTAGCAGGATAATGGAGTCAGAAGCTAGGTTCTCCAACATGGAATAATGGTATCCCAAATTGCATTTGTCTTAAAAAAAAAAAGTTTTTATTGGAAACTCAGTTTTTTTTTTTTTTTCACAGAGAGAATGAGAGACAGAAAGATCTTCCATTTACTGGTTCACTCCCAAGTGGTCTCAACAGCCACTACTGATCAGATACAAAGCCAGGAGCCAAGAGTTTCTTCCAGGTATCCCACAGGGTGCTGGGTCTTCAGGCTTCAAGCCGTCCTCTACTGCTTTCCAAGGCCATAACCAGGGAACTGCATGGGAAGTGGAACAGCCAGGATACGAATTGGAGCCCATATGGGATCCCTGCACATGCAAAGCAAGGACTTTAGCCACAAGGCTTGACCAGTAGGCCAAATGTCCTTCCAGCAAACAATTTATAAATTGACCTAATAACATTTAATCATTTGCCACATAATCTAAGAATCAGAGCACAACTAGGAGTAAATAAACAAGGCTCAAAACGGAAAATACTTCTTTTTCCTAACAACTTAGGCACAAAAATATGAACTCTGTGTTATTGTACCACGTGTCAGAATTTATTAAGAAAAGACAGTACCTGAGAAATTTGGCCCTGGACTTTTGCGAGCTGAGTTGTTCGAATATTTAAGGACTGGCTTCTTGTTACAGTTGCCCCAGAAAGAGACTTTCCATTCACCTTTCTTTCAAAGTGACAACTTGCTGGTGATTTTTCTTCAAGAAGAACAGCCTCCCAAGGATCCTCTGCAAGTAAATTTGGTATACTTTTTTCCTCTTCATGGTCTAATACTTCCACATTATCCACCTTAGGTTTACTGAGAGGATCCAAGTCTAACCATTCAAATTTACTGATACCCTCAGGCTTTGGAGAGACCTGTAGATTGCTGGTCGTAGCCTTAGAATTTGTTATTTCCAAATCAGTCCTTGCTTTCCCATTTTTTAAAAATTCTGATGTGCTAGCAATTTTATCAAACAGTTTTGCCATTTCAGGACTGACTCTTGGCTGATAGACAGGTAAGCTTCCCTGGGGATGAAATGGCGTGGCAGGTGTCAAAGGATATGAAAAATATGGAGACTGTCCTGGAACACTTAAATATATGGGTTTTGTAGATGGCAAAGTAGACATTCCTGGATTGAAGCCATTCTGAAATGCAGCCTGTTTACTGTAAGTTGCAGGATAAATAGAAGGTAAAGTGTAACTGGAAGGCCCAGATAATCCAGGTGGCCACTGTCCTCTTTGAATAGTAGATCCAACATAAAGTTGCGCTGAAAACGAAGGGCTCAGAACGTGAGTAACTGGCGACACAGGTGTTTTTCTAGGCTCGAAGTTCTCATCCAATAACAGTTTCTCAAGTTCAGCTTGAGTGAGCTTTTCCACATCAATATCTACTCCTCTTTTTTGGGACTCTGATTCAGGAAACACCATCAGATCACAATCTTCTTGGTTATAAACTTGTGCCTTTTCCTGTGAGCTGCTTGACAACTCAATGCTTCTTTGATTGTTAGTCACTTGTCTGTCCTTTTGCAGTTTTGCTAAAGCCTCTGCTTCCATCTGTAAAGCTTCTTCTTTGTCCACATCCTTCGTTCTTACTGGTTCCAGGGATGAAGATGAACATTGCTTAAATCCATTGCTGCTGGATATCTGAGCCATGTCCACTAAGAAGAATGAATCTTCCCCTAATGTTTTTTATCTCACAGCTCCCAAAACAGGAAAACCTAGGTACAAAAATAAATATAACATTTAATCAGATCTTCAAAACACAAATAAATGCATTTTATTCACGACCTATACCATATGATCGTGAATTTGAAACTACTTATATAAATACATTACCAGGACCTGGCATGGTAGCCTAGCAGCTAAAGTCCTCGCCTTGCATGCCCGGGATCCCATATGGGTGCTGGTTTTAATCCCAGCAGCTCCACTTCCCATCCAGCTCCCTACTTGTGGCCCGGGAAAGCAGTAGAGGATGGCCCAAGGCCTTGTGATACAGGAGATCAGAAGCAAGCTCTGGGCTACTGGCTCCATTTCAGTGCAGTTACAGCCATTATGGTCACTTGGGGAGTGAAATCAGCAGATGGAAGATCTTTTTATCTGTCTCTCCACTCTGTATATCTGACTTTCCAATAAAAACAAATAAATCTTTTTAAAAATTCACTACCAAATAAACGAAATGAACAGATGGGTGAAATGTAGGTGAAGGAACAATTAATATCATGTACACTACATGGTTAAAGAAGCCGTCTAGAAGTTAAGAGTGTACTTCAAAAAGTTCATAAAAGGCTGGCACTATAGCTTGGCTGGTAAAGATTCTTTATGTCACATTGCCATTCCACATGGACCCCAGCTAGTGTCCCAACTGCTCCAATTCTAATACAGCATTCTGTCAATTACCCAGGAAAAGCAGGGGAAGGTGGTTCAAGTACTTGGACCCCTGCCTACCTACACGGGAGACTCGGAAGAAGCTTCTGGCTACTGGCTCCTGGTTTTGGCCTGGCCCCCTTGGAGGTTGCAACCATCCGGGGAGCGAAACAGGTGGGAGATCTTTCTCGTTGCCCCTCTCTCTAGCTCTCTGAAGTAAATAAGTAAATCATAAAAACAAAAAAACATAGAAATTTTCACATATGAAGTTAAGAGGCTTTTCTGTTGCAGAAAAAGCTGAAACCCATGGATATGAGAGGTCTTTAAAAGTTATTAAAAGTGTGTACTATGGAAAAGCTGCAGACCTGGTGTGATGGTTCAGTGGCTAAATCCTCAACTTGCATGAGCCAGGATCCCATATGGGTGAAAGTTCGTATCCTGGCTGCTTGACTTCCCATCCAATTCCCCATCAGTGGCCTTGGAAACCAGCAGAGGAAGGCCCAAAACCTTGAGATCCTGCACCCACATGGGAGACCTGGAGGAAGCCCCTGCTCCTGACTTTGGATCAACTCAGTCCTACCATTGAGGCCACTTGGGGAGTGAATCAGTGAACAGATCTTTTTCTCTGAATCTCCTCTCTCTAAAAAATTGCCTTTCCAATTAAAAAAAAAAGTTACTCATAGATTTTTCAAATCTTATGTACAAAAATAAACTCCTAATTCAAGTCTACTTTTCCATGAATCTTTTGAGTTGCCCTCACTCATGACTGTAACCTATTTCCTGACTTAACAGAAAAGTGGGCACAGTAAAATGAAGAAGCTTTCATATGAGCTGTCACAGTGGCTTCCGTTAACCAGTGGTGCTTCTAGCAGAATTCCTGGCATGAAACAACTTAAGTGGCAGTCACATATTTCTTAAGAGTTCATATAGAGTTTAATATTATGCAAACAGCAAGTCAACATGGTTTCAGTCTTATTTCTTAAATAGCTCAGAAGCCAATCATCAGTAAGAGCAGCCAATATGTAATCAATAAAATAAGGAATATTATTTCATCAAGATATCACATGAAGCTGATTAAGCAATTATTCTAGAGACATTTTAAAAGTATAATGTAACAGATTAAGATAGGACAAAAGTGAGTTATTAGTTATCAGTAACTGGAACACTTCACTCAAGGGTTAAATTATAGAAAAAGCCATGTGACTGTTTTAATGACTTTCTGCAATTAAACCAAGTTATAACATCAAACTATCAGGCCTGGCGAAACGGTTCAGTGGCTCAATCTTCGCCTTGCATATACCAGGATGCCATAAGACGACCAGCTTGTGTTCAAGCTGCTCTGCTTTCCATCCAGCTTCTTGCTTGTGGCCTGGGAAAGCAGTAGAGGACGGCCCAAGGCCTTGGGACCCTGCACCCACATGGGAGATCCAGATGGAGATCCATGGGAGTTCCAGATGTCTTCCGTGGGACTCAGCCCAGACAGACCATGGACCATTCGTAAAGTAAACCCATGGACAGAAAAAATTTGTTTCTCCCTTTCTCTGTAACTCTGCCTTTCAAATAAATAAAATCTTTAGAGGAATGCCATTACATTACTCCAAAAAGCTACTAGAAGGTTTTCCTTTTTATGGTAGAACACAAAACAGGCATGTGTATACTCCAAATCCATATGCTTCATTGTACATAAACTTTATATTAAAGAAGGAAAGTACAAATATCTATAATTTATTTCAAAATACATCAAAAGATTAGATGAACTGACAAAAGCAATAGATGAGAATGTAGAAGATGGGCAAGTGTAACAAAATGTGGGCTTTTGTTTTTAAGATCTTCCATCTGCTGGTTCACTCCCCAAGTGGCGACAAGGGCCAGGAAAAAGCTGACCAGAACCCAGGAGCCTGGAACTTTTTTCAAGTCTCCCAGGAGGTACAGGGTCCTAAGGCTTTGGGCCATCCCCTACTGCTTTCCCAGGCCACAAGCAGAGAGCTGGATGGGAAGTGGAACTGCAAGGACATGAATCGGTGCCCATATGGGATCCTGGCATATGCAAAGTGAGGATTTTAACTACTGAGCCTTTGCTCTGGGCCCAGTTACAATAAAATGTTAACAGTAGATTTTAGGACTATGGCATGGCAGTAGAGCTGCCATTTGCAATACTGGCATCCCATGGAGGTATTGGTTCATGTTCTGGCTGTTTCAATTTTGATGCAGCTCGCTGCTAATGGTCTGAGGAAAACAGAGAAAGATGTTCCATTGTTTGGATCCCTGCCCTTCAATGTGGGAGTCCTGGAAGAAGTCTGGGGTTCTGGATTTGGCCTGGCAAAACTCCAGCCACTGTAGCCATTTGGGGAGTGAACCTATGGTTCATCTAAAGATTTCTGTCTCTAACTTTTTGTATCTTTTCAAATAAATAATCAAATCTTCAAAAAAAAAATCAGTAGATTCTAAACAGTAAGTAAATGGGTATTCACTTTGAAACTCTTCCCACCTGGCTACCACAACTGAAAATGTTCACGACAAACTGTATGAGGAATAGAATGGGTAGAATTTGCTTACATGCCTTAATGATGTGACTGTTGCTCTTCCCATAAAGAGCTGAAGCAGGGCCTGGCATGGTGGCCTAGTGGCAAAATCCTCAACTTGCATGTGAGGATCCCATATGGGCACAGGTTTGTGTTCTGGCTGCTCTGCTTCCCATTAAGCTTCCTGCTTGTGGCCTAGGAAAGCCATCAAGGACAGCCCAAAGCCTCAAGACCTTGCACCCATGTGGGAGATCCAGAAGAAGCTCCTGGCTCTTGGCTTTGGATTGGCTCAGATTCAGCCATTTTGGCTACATGGGGAGTGAACCAGCAGACAGAAGAGCTTTCTTTCTGTAAATCTGACTTTCCAATAAAAAAGCTCTTGCTTTTTTTTTTTAAGATTTATTTATTTTTATTGGAAAGTTGGATATACAGAGAGGAGGAGAGACAGAGGGAAAGATCTTCTGTCCAGTGATTCACTGCCCATGTAGCCGCAATGGCTGGAGCTGAGTCAAATAGAAACCAGGAGCCAGGAGACTCTTTCATGTCTCCCATGTGCGTGCAGGGTCCTAAGGCTACGGACCGTCCTCTACTGCTTTTCCAGGCCACAAGCAGGGATTAGAACTGGTGCCAATATAGGTTCCCGGTGCATGCAAAGCAAGGACTTTTAACCACTACGCTATTGTGCTGGAACCTAGTTCTTTACAATCTTGATCTGAGTAGGCTTTGGGACTTGTAGAAAAGGTGACCCTTTGAAATTCTAAGAATGGATATTAAGAAACTTTCCTGAAAGAACGAATAGAAAAGCCCAAACACCAAACACCAGTCCTGAATGATCATCTCAGACCATCCGGCCTTAGGAACAGTCTGGTTGTAAGTGTTTATTTGGTGTCCCATCAATATATGCTTAATATGTGTGTATATAAAAATGAATCTATGGGAGTTATGGAAAGTAACATTATCAATAACCTCAATTATATCCTTAATATCACTATACTTTTGTCTGAAATTGATGACCCAGAAATAGCTATAATAATAGACCTCTTATGTAAATTATGCTGTGATTTAATAATGCATATAGCATATATGATGGAGCTTTTGAGCAGAGGTGACTCCATCTTCCTAAACTACTGGTGAAACGGGGCCACCTCTCCTATTACTCCTGTCAAGAAACTCCGATGTACGTAAGCCCTCTCTTATCACTCCTGTTAAGAAGCTCTAATGTACGTAAGCATGTCATGAAAAACAAGTTATGGTAAAAATGATAAAAGAAGAAATTGTGTCTTGATAAATATGTAAATGTAAAAAAACATGTTTCTCAGAACTAAGAGAAAGCAAGTATTGTTGATAGATAACATGTAATGACCAATCAAAACGTAACAACTGCTTGCTTGACCCACTGAAGTGTATAAAAACTCACGCCTTTTTCCCAGTCACTGAAGCCAGCAGGTTCCCACTAGGCCAGAACTAAAGCCCAGCAGTGGCGCAAGTGGCTAAGGGTCCTCGCCTTGCACGCCCGGGATCCCATATGGGTGCCGGTTCTAATCCCGGCAGCCCCGCTTCCCTTCCAGCTCCCTGCCTGTGGCCCGGGAAAGCAGTCGAGGACGGCCCAAAGCCTTGGGACCCTGCACCCGCGGGGGAGACCCGGAAGAGGCTCCTGGCTTCAGATCGGCATAGTATCGGCCCGTTGCGCTCACTTGGGGAGTGAATCATTGGACGGAAGATCTTCCTCTCTGTCTCTCCTCTCTGTATATCCGCCTTTCCAATGAAAAAATAATAAAAATAAATCTAAAAAAAAAAAAAAAGCCCAGCAGACTTCCACGAGACCGAAGTCA